AATTTCACATGAATCTAACTTTTTTACTTTGGTGGTTTTTCACCAATTTCTTATGAACTCCAAGTTTACTACCTGAAAAATGGTTAAAAATGTTCTATGTTTGTTTGTATATTTGTCTGAATAGAACATGCTCATTAATAATAAATCACATCATGCAATGTTACATGACATCTTTTGTGAACCACGCTACTATGTTCCTATCGTGATTCAAAATGTGGTACAGGGACCCAGATATTATTTTCTTCACAAAACAATGAAGAACAATGGAGGACACGTTGACTGCTACAGATTACACCAGTTGCACAAAACTCTCAAGAACTTTGACACACTTTGCATATCAATGTTACTTGAATAAACAGAAATAATCTTTAAAAACTGTACATGTGTCATTGAAGAGAACAAAAGGTCACTTTCATGACCTCTAAAGGTTACATATACTAATATTATTGTTGGTTTGAAAATCAAAAATATTTTTTTTTTTTTTATTTGTATCTGAGTGCAATTTTCAACTTGATTATTTGTTTTAACTACTTAGGTAAAATTTTACTGTTTAATACTAACAGAAATACACATCAAAATGCCCTAATTGTACATTTGCGATACTGTCCTATCAACAAAAGTACCAGGATGTGTGACCTTTAGAGGTTATGTAAGTGGTATATTAATTCCTGTCACAAAGACAAAATAAAAGAATGAAATAAATTAATAATCTAAATTGTTTTATAGATATAATGCATAACTTTGCAGGGCTATGGAGTTGAAAGAGCGACCAGTTTTTCTTTTGAATATGTTCACTTTTTGAAGGTAACCCAGGCAAACTCGTTAGGCATTAATGCAATTGCATTTGTTGCCACCGTGAAGTTCAAACCTTGGATATTGGGTTGAGAAATATTTTGTCTAAATCACGGTTAAGTGACCACAATCTAGAAAGTCGCAGTTGCTGTGTAAAATAATAAAAACAACCTACAAAAATTTGGATAAAGATAAAAAAACAAGTCAACCTAAACTTTTTTAACTATATAATGCACTTTGATTTTATTATTGCAATATAAATTTATTATTATTGTAAATCATGTCATTCAGTTGTTGATTGTTTGAAATCACTCACTGTGACTTCACTTTTTCATCTGTTGCAAACGTTTGGTTAAAAAACGCATATACCTGGTAGGTCAACTTTTGTCACAAATTTTAAAACCAAATAATTTTTTTTTATATTTTTACCAAATTTTGATCAAGTCTTAGCCAATAGGAAATTATGTCAAATTTTCCAAAATTAGAAGAAAAATAATTAAAAAAAAATACACAAAAACAGTCAAAATTATTAACATTTTGAGTGCTAAAGTCAACCTCTGGCACCATTCAAAAATTCCATAATTTCTTCATAATTTTTCCAAAATTGTTGTCAAGGGAAATATATATAGAAAAATACTTAAAAAGCAAGAAAATGTTGCACCAAATTTTGACCAGAAAAATTATGGCGTTCAAGGAGTTAAAGGTTTGATTTTGTATACAAACCAACCACCCACCACTCTCACAGACTACCAGTAAATGATTCTGTTACCATGGAATTATTCTCATACTCAGTGTAAATTGAGGCCTGTCCATCTCTTCCCCCAGACAAGACAATTTTACCTGGGACAGGTAAATCTTGAAATAGTTACAATTCATAATGGGATTTTTCTGTGAAAAAGCCAATACTTCTGATGAAAATGTCAGATTTGATAAAAACTGTCGGTTATACATTCTAATTTAATGAATGAATCCAATCATGTGAAAGTTTTGAGATGTAACCTTTGACCTCTTGAAATCAGGTGTGTTTATTTATGTGAACCACTTTAATATCATGAAATACATTTTTATGAGTCGGGTTCTCTAATAATTTCGCACGTTCTCAAATTATGAAATGTTGAAAATTGTTATCTGTGAAAATTGCATGGTTTACAATAAATCTGTATTGGATTTACTTCATGCAATCGAACAACATGAGATTCAATCTCTTTGCATGCTTTATTGATTCATTCAACATTCTTAATGGAGCCCTATGCCAGTAAAACCCATTATCATACGTTTCAGTGGTTGATATAATTGTTAATCTGTTCTTTGAATTCCATCATTTTTCCCACTAAATGTTACACATTTTTTTGTTATGTTTACCTGCAATTAATTTTAAATTTTGGATCAAATTAGACCTAATTTCCTATTACCAACAAGGGATCTACCAGTCATTGAATTATTGAAAACAAAAATTATATAGGTTTATTTTGGGAAATGTGAAAATAGTTGAGCCTTCCAATCAAAGAGTATACAACCTCTCATTGACAATATAAACATCAGTCTTCACATTTCAATAATTGACATTTTGTAGTTGGCAAAATAAATAGTGAACAAAATTTTCACAGAAATAGGTCAGTCTTTCTAAATAATCCTTTGATTAGAATGTGTTTTTGTGGTTGGTAGAATATGGTGCTGGTGGCTACTGTACATTTGTTGTTTGAATCAAAATAACTGGTGACAGCTGTCAATATGTGGGGGTAACCAAGCTCTAATTTTAATCTGCTTGTTTGTTTTTTTACAAGCTGTTGTCATGTGACAGATTCTTAATTTAACTTTTTTCACCACCAGACTTTTTCTCCTAAATTTGTCTGCACTTTTTTCTTAAATTCTTCAATATTTCTGGAAATAAACCCTAATTTCGGAGTCAACAGACAAAATTTTAGTCATTTTGCAGTCAACTTACTCAAAAAATTTTGCTATTTTGGTCTTATTTTTCTAAATGAAAGTGCAAACTATAAGAAGGAATATTTTATGAATTTGTGATGAAAACAGCGAACTGATCAAGAACACATAATATATAACCTGTAAATACAAAATAAATCAGTAAAGTTATCAGACCAATTATCGTAAACCAACAAATTCTGATTCCTGGATAAATAAACAAATTATTGTTAAATTTGTTTCTGGTACACATACATTTGTTACATACACACTGTGTATGTAAGGATTAGGGTCACTTGGGAGGAGGGGGGTGGGTATTTGTGCCAAAATATTGTTACAATGAAAGAATTACAAGAATTTTACAGAATCAAATCTTTTTTCTTTGGCCCTAAATGTTAATGCTGAAATTTATATTTTTGTGGCAGATCTATATACATGTACAATAAATCCGTAAAAAAATGTAGAATAAAAACAACAAATTTTGAAATAGTAACATTGTTTATTTTGAACTTCTTCTTATAGTTGATATCTGTAAATTAAAGACTTTTGAAAAATTAAAAAAAAAAATATGTTATGGCTATGGGAAAAATGATTTGAGGAATGTAGAACAAGAATATTTTGCGAAAATGTTCTACCTCCCAGAGATTCTAATGGTAAACCCCTATTAAAAGTACCGTAACCCCTGTATCTTATTTTTCCCAGCAGTTTTACATTATGTATTAAAGACACATTTTTAATAGAACCCAACTGATGCCGTACTTGCAGGATATTTTATTATTCATTCTATGAATATCACATTATTGAAACAACAAATACAATGATATGTAGATAAATGGCTTCTCCTCAAACTTGCAATTACACAGTCAAATGATTATCTGTCGTCAATTTAAATGGCTAACACACCTTTCCTTTCTAAACAATTTAATGCGTCTGTGACGTCAAAATGACCTGTATGTGTGAAAGCAAAAAGGTCAATCAGACAACTCTTGTTTGGTTGTATTGTCGCGCATCGTTTACAAAATAGCGAATCGCTTGTTATTTGTCATTGTCAGACAAATAAAGATTAAAATAGTATCGACACTGTGAATAGCATTCACGTCACTCTTTAACGAGAAGCGAAGTGTGTTACCCCCTTCTAGGAATGTTGTATTATAGTTTTTAATGCCAAAATCAACTTGCCAATATTTTCTATTTTGATCAAGCCATGTACCTTATGGGAGATTATGTAAATTTGGTAAAAAATTAACAAAGAGATTATAAAAAAATGCAAATATTTCACCAATTATACGATACGACCACTATTTTTAGGGCAACTGACTAATATTTTATTGGAATAAAATAAATGTTGCTGTGTGTTTGGAGTCTGGTCTTGTATAAAAAAAAATGTCTATGTCAAGAGTTTTTTTTTAATGTACAACCATTATCAAGTAGTTATGTAGATTCCGTAGTGATCTACCGGTACATCACATACATTTTCTTGCTGCCAAAGATATAGTGCAGAATTATTAAAATTGTTTACCATGTAAGTGGACCTCAACTCAACTATTTTGGATTCTGAATAGTTAGAATTTTTTAGGGAACAAGCAAGTTGTGGTGACATGAGGTGTCATTGACAAAGAAAAGGTTAAAGGTCATCAGATAAACAGTTTAACATTACTGAACTTTTGATAATTCAGTAACTAGCCCTT